TTTTTTTTTTTTTTTTTTTTTTTTTGAAGACTTTCCCAAAAGTCTTTGAGAAAGAAAAAAAAAAAAAGAGGAGGAATTTGGAGGTGGCGGAAAGTTTGCATGTGGTGTTGTGTTAGAATGCAATAATTGAAGAGTTTTATGATTCATTAAATGAGTAAAAAAATAAAAAAGTGTGGTGTGGTGTTCAATACTTTTCATAGTTTATTACAGCTGGCGTGCGCAAATCTTGGTACAATCATTCCTTTTCAACTTTCACCCTCCAACAAAGAGTTTGGGCCGATCACCTCTAATTCCCTCGACAATTATTTTAATCCTTAGTCATTGAATGAGTAATATCATGATAGTAGCAATTAGTTTGAATTAATATCATAAATGATCAGAAACTTAAATAATTTATAATTGGATTGAACACAGTTGTGTTGGATCTAAAAAGGATATCAACCCGACCCAACTTAAGTAACGAGCACCATAAATTTCTTTGGTTTTCATATCTTTATCGTACATAATTTTACTAAAGTAGCTCGATAGCATACCGCCAAAAGGATGCTAAAATTTTTCAAAAGGTTCTTATTTATGTACGGAAGAAGAGAAAGCGTGAGATTATAATAATCGTGTGTTTAAGGTTAAATGAGAAGGAAAAAGTGGATTGATGGGGTGCAAAGGAAGATAACCCCAAATTGGTTTATATGATTGTACTAATAATTGTTGGAAATCGAAGGAAATACACCAAAAAGTGAGGGCACATTCAACTGCTTTCCTCCAAATTCCTTTTGGTTTAGTTAAATAAATGACTGTTCAAAATGCCATTTCTTTCTAACTTTCAACCTTGGTTTAATACCTTCTTCCCACCCACCCTACTATTCAACTAATCCATCCATTTATAAACAAAATTCTCCGATTCAATATATATACTCTTAAATCTTCAATAGTCAAAGTTTAGCTTCAATTATAAGCTCAATTCTAAGAAATTCTTATTTGACCACAAAGTAAGTTATCAAATAATTAGAACGGGTAAGTTGCTAGAGCTTCCCAACTACAATGACCAATTCAAAAAGCAAGAAATTAAAGTGAAGTATAAGGCCTAGCAAGGACTCGTCTATACAAAATTACCAACTCCAAAATCCTTTCTTTCTTTATTTGTTTATTTATTTGTTACGTTAAGCTTTAATAGTTAGCCACCAAATCCAACTTTTTGGCTTCCTTTGATTATGAGTTCCCTTTAGAGAAGACTATTCCACGAACAGTCCCTCTCTATAAATGGACACTCCCAATCTTAATTGCAGCAAGCCCTGTAAGTTTCCTTGTCCAGGTGTTTTCTATAACTTCTTGACACACATTATGGCTCCGTCAACAAGCTTTCTCTTTGTTTTTGTTCTTCTTGCTCTGTCTTCGGTTTGTTTCTCTCACAGACCTGGCGGCGGCAATGGATATGGCGGTTATTTGTATCCTCAATTCTATGACCATTCTTGTCCAATGGCTCAAGACATTGTGAAGTCCATTGTGGCTAAGGCTTTTGCTAAGGAACCTCGGATTGCTGCTTCATTGATTAGGCTTCATTTCCATGATTGTTTTGTCAAGGTTATTCAAACTAACTATCTAATACCCATCTTCTTTTTTTCTTAAAAAAACATAATTTTGATGCATTATGTTTGTCATTAACAACAAATAATTTTCAGGGCTGTGATGCTTCACTGTTGTTAGATAGCAGTGGGAAAATTGCTAGCGAAAAAAGGTCCAATCCAAATAGAAACTCTGCTAGAGGATTTGAAGTGATTGATGAGATTAAATCTGCCTTAGAAAAAGAGTGTCCACAAACTGTTTCTTGCGCTGATATTTTGGCCATTGCTTCAAGAGACTCCACCGTCATAGTAAGGCTTCTAACTTTTGCAGGACTAGTCAGTCGTATTTGTTTTGTTTTAAGCTGAGAGTTTGTGTGATAAAAGACAGGAGGTCCCAGTTGGGAAGTCCCGCTAGGAAGGAGGGACTCGAGAGGAGCAAGTCTAAGTGGGTCTAACAATCACATCCCAGCTCCAAACAACACATTCCAAACCATTCTCACAAGATTCATGAGACAGGGCCTTGATATTGTTGATCTTGTTGCTCTTTCAGGTAAAACTTCCCTCCCTTGTCTCTTACGAGCCAGCACCAGCTTGAATATATCATAACTTATCGACTTTGTTAATAAATGAATACAGGAAGCCACACTATTGGAAACTCTCGATGCACTAGCTTCAGGCAACGGCTTTACAACCAATCTGGCAATGCTGAGCCTGACCCTTCACTCGATCCATCGTACGCTGCTGAATTGCTCGGACGATGCCCGAGATCAGGGGGTGATCAGAACCTATTTTTCTTGGACTTTGTCAGCCCGACCAAATTTGACAACTATTACTTCAAGAACCTTTTGGCTGGAAAGGGTTTGCTAAACTCAGATCAAGTCCTCTTGACAAAGAACCAACAATCAGCGGAGTTGGTGAGGACATATGCAGAGAATTCAGAGCTCTTTTTTGAGCAATTTGCTAAGTCCATGGTTAAGATGGGGAACATTTCTCCTCTCACAGGTTCAAGGGGTGAGATCAGAAAGAACTGCAGGAGAGTAAACAAAAATTAGGACGATCAAGATTTTTTTTTAATGTATTGCATCTGAAGTGTGTTCTCATTTAGTTTTTCTTTCTCAAATTCTTGAATGTTTGTGTTATGGTTTTCAATGCTGTTATGTGTTCCTTGCACCTGAGCCCTTCGAGCCATTTTTTAATAAATTCGATCTATTTCTGTTGAGCTACGTGTAACGGCCTAAGCTCATAACTAGTAAATATTGTCCGCTTTGATCCATTACGTATAATCGTCAACATCACGATTTTAAGACGCATCTACTAAAGAGAAGTTTTCACACCCTTACTTGCAATCATGCTAATAAAAATGGATGAGGAGGTAAGTAACACTTCATTAGAAGTACTTGTTAAGTATTATTAATTATAGGGTGTTAAGTATTTGAAATTTACGACCAATGAAGATTTATTTATAAAAAAATCGTAATATTCACTGAAACTATATAAAGACACAGTGTGATGTAATAGGAAGGAGGCATTACTGATGATTTATAAATTTGTTAAGAAGAGGTTCTCATCCAGGAAGGATAACCCACCTCCAAGAAAGGACAAGAGAAGTTGTTCTTTAGACATTAGTAAGAAACATAAATTGATCTTCCTTTACAAATGCCAGGCCTTACCACTTTACTTGGTTTTCTTTTTCCATAATCACTTTCTACTTCTTTCACCTTACAAACAAGGGAAGCCACAGGCATAACAATGGAAGATCTTACGTTGTTACACCTTATCGTCATGGAACCACCACCTCGTCTCTTTCGGGGATCTTCCATTCCTACAATTCTTTACATAACGGTCGTTATCGTCAGGGCGTTGCTGCAATGGAAAACATTAGACTGTCAGAGAAGGATTCTGGTTGAAGTTAGTACACACAACACGTCCTTACAAGTTATAGCTTAACAATTTCATTACCAGCACCTCCATGAAAAACATATTAATTATACAATAGGATCAAAGTGGCATGAAGTGTAACAGACCTTTGCTGTCGAGCTCGACAACATGGAGAGAATGCTGATACAGATAGAACTTACAGTCATTGCAGGCGACCATGAATCATATAAAATATCTACACGGTTTCAGAGTGAAGGGAAATAACAATGGTCAGTGTTGGTATGAAGGTGATAACTAAGGACTCAGACAAAGCCAATAATAGACCATAAATAAAGCCATACAATAGATATACACGACTAGGATAGAATTCAAAACTCAAACAAGCACGAGCAACAAACAGTATCGATAGTTAGAAACATGTACGAGAGGAAAAGGCAAGACAAAACTTTAACACCAACATATTAAATTATTAGAAAACACATCATCTCAATCTCGCAGGTAATGTGCATCTGAGCAACTAGCAAGTTGCAGCAAGCATATTTCCAACTTCACCTTCAAACTACATCCATTGCAAATGATAGAGGTGTTCAAGACCAAACCAATGATCCAAACTAAATTAGCTTGGTTTGAGATTCCTTTCCTTTTGTTCAGACCAAACAAAACCAGCAATGATAGTTTGGTTCAGCTTGACAAATTTCTGTCTAAAGCAAACCAAACGAAAAAGATTAATAAAACTTAGATTGCTAAAATAAACGAATATTTACACCTAAATAATTTAAAATATTACATGATTAATAATGCCCTGTAAAATCTTAAGTCAAGTTTTAAAGACTTCGGTTATAAAACAATTACAATCTAACATGTAATAGAAATTAGTTTTATTCATTTTGCAGATTTGATGAACTTTATGGTATTTATATTTCATTTCAATCAGCAAACATAACATTCGGCGGAGGGTAAACAAAAGTTTCCCAAACAGTAGAAAGAAGTTACGAATGATACAAAGAAACATATTGATGGATGAATTGGTATTGTTTTGGATGTTAGTGTTGAGCAGTATGGTTCTGTTCTTATTCATTACATATATAGACATATAACCAAATGGTTGAAAGATTTCAAAACAAACCCGACCAATGAACACCTAGTAAATACCATGATAAACACTCATCCTGCAATAACTTTTCAGCATAGAGGATCTTTTCATCCATACAAACTAGCTATTAACAAAAAGAACGGAATCCAATATCAAGCAGTACTTCCTCTTCTTTTTCTTTTATTTTTCATTGCAAGACTAGTTTATACTTCTATTTTGTGTAATTGAAAAGTTTTAAACATAATAGATGTAAGCAACACGTTGTCCTAATAGGACAGAATATATATCAAAACCTTTCTGTAACATTAAATCATTCAGGTTCTCCATGATGAACCACTGATAAGCTTACACGCAACGTGCCACTGTATGGTAAAAAATCTATTAACATCCCCAATTGAGATATCTTCTTGGGTCGAATTCAATTAAACACCATTACTATTATTGTACATCCATCTGAAGTGTGACCCCTGACACAAATACTAAAAACAAAACTCCTTATAGACCGCATTAGGCTTAAACAGGGTAGATGGAAAAAAAAAATCTAAAAACAATAGAGTGAAGAAGGCAATAGAATATAAACTTTATATTCCTGCATAATTGCAATCTCATAAATAGAGTGAAATGGTGAAGCAAACGATATAACCACAAAGAAATCTATACACACAAAGAAAAGAATATCCAACAAGAACAAGCAATAGAAAATTATGCATATACCAACCTAGACAAATGTGACCATTGCTATAGATATGAGGATGAAGAGGGGCTGGATGCAGAAATATAACCTGTTATGAAACCGGTATACAAAATCAAACACACAACAATCAATAAATTTAGACACTACACAGGATTATGGAAGAAATGATCTCAGAATTCAATGATTATGTTTATACACCTGTGGGGCTTCCATTGGGTAATGCTCAGGGAAGTCCACCTGAAGCTGGTAGGTTTCATTTGCATAGAGAGTTCCCGGAGCTCCGTTGACTTCAATCACCCATCTTCCAACAAAATAAAATAAAATAAATCCAAAAATGAACGTCAAATTCCTACTAAAAGCAGATAGTAAATTTCCTTTCAGAACACACTACAGACAAAGAACAGTAACAAGAAAACCTCACTTCGATTTCAAAAGAAAAATTAAGAACCTCCACTGTCGATAATAGGGAGAGCACGACACAATCAAACCTAAACTAAGCCCCAAGGCACCCAACAACACCAATTCGACGCTATTACATCAAATTCCAGCCTTTTTCTTACTTTCCAGAGCGCTAACAATGACGTAGAAGGCAAATAAACAGAAATTACGAATTAAAGAAAACCCTACGAGAAAAGGGGAAGAAGCAATACCTCTGGAGATTATCGGTAACCTTGTGTTTAAAACCAGCGGGAGGGTTAACCTGCCACTCGACCAGTTCCTTCTGAAGCCGATTGCAAGCAATCTTACTTAAAGCCTGGAAAAGGAATCAAATCAGATACGAAAGGAAGAGTTAGGAGAGCAGAATCAGATGAGAGTAAATTGATGAATGAAACACGGCGATGGCGATGGCGATGAGAATAAAGATGATTATGAGGAAGAAGAAAAGGGACAACCTTACGAGCGGAGTCGGAGGAGCTGGTCATGCTTGGGTTTGGCTCCGCAATGGCAGAGAGAAAGGGAGGAAAAGAGTTAATGCGAAATGTGACGATGATGTTGACGAAAGGGACGAAGTGGACCGGCCACGCCTTATAACGCCACTCCCCACTCTTCCTCTGCACCCTATTCCATTCCCATTTACTTCCCCCCCCCCCCCTTTTTTTTTTTTTTTTTTTT